ATTGGTCAGCGTTTTTCGTTGATAACTCGTGAACGAAGCCGCGGATCGCATTTTCGCAAAGGAAAAAGTTACTTCAAATGACTCGAGGAACCCCTCGTTTCTCGCTCGTACAATAATTTTCGGACACGCTGTAGACGCGAAATCGGTACTCGACGATTAGTCCCGGCGAGTCGGGCGGAGTCTAAGCCGCGGATCCCACGGGAACGAACGCTCGAATCGAGCTGCTTTCGCGAGATATACGTCCGACGATGAATTACGAGAGGCGAACGTGTCGAGCCGCGTGTATCCGGCGCGCTGCGCCGCGACCGCGGCCGCCCGGCGAATTTCGAAGTCCGTGGAACGCGAAGTTTAGCCCGTTCAGGCTCCGCTGAATTATTGCAAAAAGTGGAACGACTCTCGGGCCGGGTTCTCGCGGGAGAACCGGGCGAGACAGAGAAAGCAATAATAATATAGAGCCCGTCCACGCGGACCATAAAAAACCGCCCCGGTGTCTTTTTTTCAGGCGCGGAACAAATACCGGCTCGGGCTGTAGATAACTTTCTCTGCGCTTTTTTGCCGCCGAAACTCTCTCGTCCGGTTGACCGTCGTCCGTTCTCGGACTGTCGCTCGAAAAATATTTTTCCGAATCTCTCGTTAGCCCGATGCCGAGCGATTTCTTCCCGGTTAACCGGGGTTACGGTGCCCCCGCGTTTTCGTTTCCCGCTTCGATTTCATACGCCGTTTCTCCTTTCGGTATTTTTCGACAGCCCGTGCCCCGCCGTTCGACATCGTAATTCGATATTGTTCGGTCCGACCGCTTAACGTTAAACCTACCTAAAAGGTCTAAAAGCGGGTGTAACAAGCGTTTGCCTTTGTGAGAACTTCGCGACAGAATTTATTTAAATTTCTCGCGATTTTTATTAATACTTCTACCAATACTTTATTCATATTTTATCACCATTTTCGTTTCCATGCTGAGGGCCAATTAGGGAGAATTTACAGTAGCTCCTGTGTCCTGCAATTAGTGCAGACAATTTTTTATTATATTTTAGAATATATATATTATTATATTTCATATATTATTTATATATATTATTATATTTTTTCTCCGTCTTTCTTGGTTTCTGGGCCTTTTTCAATACAATTAAATAAACATATATGTATGCTTCTCAAAGCGTTTCGGTTTTATTAAATCGATGCTATTTCCGATAAAATTGTACAAAGTTATTTATTCACACGTCTAGTGTTGATAAAATATAAATAAAATATTAGCAAAATATTAAGAAAGTGTGAACAAAATATCAATAAAGTATCGATAAAATATTAACAAAAATTCAAACGAAAAAACGTCGATCAACGTGGCGCGTCCCACGAAGTCAAAACGGAAAAGAAAACGCGAATCCGCGCGATCCATTCGCTAAGCGCCGAGGAAACTGTCAGTCATCGCTCAAAGTTGCCGGCCAATAACCGTATTCAGTGAAAGTTTTCAATGTAATAACCGCGCTTTCGTTACGATCTGCACGGCCGGCGTTCCCTTCTTATGAAAGAACTTCTTACGGTCCGTCGGCGAATTTATTGAATTTCACTCGGAGAGCGAACCCACCGACGGCTGATCTCTCTCTCTCTCCCTCTCTCTCCCTTTACGTTCTCTCCCACCTCTCCCTCCCTCCCGGATAAGCCGTCCTTTATTCTGCTCGAGATATCGCTCTGGGCCCCCTTGTCGAAACAAATGCCTTAAACCGATACCACCGCGAACGAACGCACGCGGGAATATTTCGGGCTATCGAAGATCGGTCGCGATATAGCGATCGAGCGATTCCGCAGTGGCGCCGGTTAAGAGGAGGTTTCCGGCCGAAGAATGCCGGCCGTGAAAGTTAAAACGCTAAACCGCATCTCGTTTGGCTCGCGATCAAAGTGCAACAGATTGGTAAAGGCGCGTTCGGGCGCGCGCCGAACGCGGTGGAAAAAAGCATTTTACGTATGATGGCGCGCGTGTCGAACTTTTTTCTTGATTTTATACGGTTCAAGTACGTGTTTATGCGAAAATAAGGATAAAATTTGAGATGAACATTTATATAGAGATGAAGCGAATATATAAATTAAATTGAATTGAACTAAATCAAATTAAATTAAATTGAATTGAACTGAATTAAACTGCATATTTGATGCATTTGTGATCTATTTATATGAAAATAAACAAATATATATAATATATTTGGCTTATTTTTATATAAATTTTTATTTTTACATAAATATGTCACAAATGCATCTAATCTGCAGTTTCATTCAATTCAATTTAATTTAATATAATAATATAAAATTATAATTATAATTATATATGTATATGTATAATAATTATAAAATTATAATTTTATATAATTTAGTTCAATTTTTTTTAAATTAATTTAGACTGACAGAGAATCGGCGAATTATCCAGTCTGCAACATCATGCTGGGTGTAGAAACGTATTACAAGACTGCAACAATTATGTCAGCAAACTTTGTATCTGCTCCGAAGGAACAGCAACTAAAAATCTAAATGAAAGATTCTGATAAACTGGAACGAAGATTTTTCACACGTTCCCCTTGGGATCTATAGCTATGAGAAATCGACTTGAATCGATCAACAATAGCAAATAGAAACCTAATGAAATCCTCGGAGTCCAAAGCGACAAAACAGAAGAGTTTCCAAGACGTCACACGAATCGAGGCGAGCTCGCGGTAAAATGATGCGCCGAAGAAGATCTGTACAGAGTGAGTCAAGTAATTAGACCGAGCTGCATCTCTGTTCCAGCTGAACTTAAAATGAAATTATAGAGGACAATTTCACACTATTTAACGAGCTCTGTTATCCTGTGGTACGATTTTATTCGCAGATGCATCGGTGCAGTTGCAAAGTGCAACTGCACTTTCTTTTTAAACTGAACCGCACACTTTCTTGTATTTAAATCGATTCTATAGTGCATTCCCGATAAAAACGTATTAGGGTACATCAGCAGAAAAATTAACATTTCCCAAGATATTTCGCAAATTCCTATATGGAATTTTTTCTCTCATTTATCCCCCTCATTAAAAAAGTAAAATATCTCATGAAACATCAATCCTTCCGCCATTGTACCCCAATACTTTCTTATAGAGAATGCTCCATAGAATCGATCTACCTACAAAAAAGCCCACACTTCCATTTAAGAAAAAAGTGCAGTTGCACGTTGCAACTGCACCGATGCATCAGCGAACAAAATCCTGCTACAGTGCAATAGGGCTTGTTAAACAGTGCAAAACTGTCCTCCACAACTTCGCTCGAAAATCACCTGGAGCAGCGTCGCAGCCGAGTTTATCTGACCCAGCCTGTGCAACAAGGAGACGGTTTTATTACAGTCAATGACAAAAGCGAACGATCCTCGGGCTCCGTCCGTCGACGTTCGCGCACCTGGCACCCTACGCGTCGTATTCGCCTAAGAAACACACCGTTCGCGACATTTCATTGTTCCCCGATGTGTTCCCGTCTCCTTTTCGCGCGATTTATCGCGTCTCAGTCTCCCCCTCTCCCCCCCTCCCCACCGAATGCATAACGCTGCTGTAATCTGTGTTTGCTATCGTGTCGGTAGACCAATTAGAGAGCCCCGTAGTACCATTGAGTGCAGTAGAGAAGAAGATATACATACATACATACATACATACATACACATACAGGATGTCCTGAAAATGTCTCGCAATCCGAAAATGGGAGATTCCTGAGGTGATTTGAAGCTGTCTCTTATACACATCTAGATGTGTATAAGAGACAGATAATATACTTAATATATTAATATTAACAGTATTATGCCTGTCTCTTATACACATCTAGATGTGTATAAGAGACAGATAATATACTTAATATATTAATATTAACAGTATTATGCCTGTCTCTTATACACATCTAGATGTGTATAAGAGACAGATAATATACTTAATATATTAATATTAACAGTATTATGCCTGTCTCTTATACACATCTAGATGTGTATAAGAGACAGATAATATACTTAATATATTAATATTAACAGTATTATGCCTGTCTCTTATACACATCTAGATGTGTATAAGAGACAGATAATATACTTAATATATTAATATTAACAGTATTATGCCTGTCTCTTATACACATCTAGATGTGTATAAGAGACAGATAATATACTTAATATATTAATATTAACAGTATTATGCCTGTCTCTTATACACATCTAGATGTGTATAAGAGACAGATAATATACTTAATATATTAATATTAACAGTATTATGCCTGTCTCTTATACACATCTAGATGTGTATAAGAGACAGATAATATACTTAATATATTAATATTAACAGTATTATGCCTGTCTCTTATACACATCTAGATGTGTATAAGAGACAGATAATATACTTAATATATTAATATTAACAGTATTATGCCTGTCTCTTATACACATCTAGATGTGTATAAGAGACAGATAATATACTTAATATATTAATATTAACAGTATTATGCCTGTCTCTTATACACATCTAGATGTGTATAAGAGACAGATAATATACTTAATATATTAATATTAACAGTATTATGCCTGTCTCTTATACACATCTAGATGTGTATAAGAGACAGATAATATACTTAATATATTAATATTAACAGTATTATGCCTGTCTCTTATACACATCTAGATGTGTATAAGAGACAGATAATATACTTAATATATTAATATTAACAGTATTATGCCTGTCTCTTATACACATCTAGATGTGTATAAGAGACAGGGTCAGTGTTTTTCGTTAATAACTCGTAAACGAAGCCGCGGATTGCATTTTCGCTAAGGAAAAAGTTGCTTCGAATCACCTCGGGAATCTCCTACTTTCGGATTGCGAGACATTTTTTGGGGCACCCTGTATATTCCGTTGCATGCCGCATGCGTGGCTCGTCTGCTTGCTGTCGCGGCGTAGCGGAGAACAAAACCCGTGAACCGTAGATATGTGCGTGTCTTAATCGATCTTTGACCTCGGCAGCTCGATCTGGTACTCAACTCAGACGAGGGCGGTGACTTGTCCGATTTCATCATGAACGGGGAATGGTACCTCATCGGTGAGTTTCTGTGAACGTAAGTTCGTTAGGCCAGTCATAAGATATCAACGTTGCCGCGCGATTCACCAGCGGATTCCCCAATACGAATCGTTCCCGATATTGTTGGTTGCGCTTTTCTCCTTTTTCTTCGCCTTGTGCGAACAACGGGATGCGGAGTTTCTCGTTTTTAACGAAATTTCGTTTAACGATTGTTACAGGAACAGGCTCGTTTTTTGTGCATCGGGACGAGGAGAAACTGTTGTTCGTAGTTTGTTATTCTTGATCGGGTGATCGACACTGTTGTACGTATTGTATGATTTTTTTATATATCACGGACGATGCTCTGATTAATGTTTAAAGCGATGATAATTTTTGTTTAATCGTGATAATTTTTTTCAGGCAAAATTGCAATTGTCTGCATTCGGTGCAAGATACGACAGCTCTGTACGGATATTTATTTCTTTGTTTGGGTCATTTCAGTGTGACCAGAATTTTATGGAATAAATATTTTTTATTCGACGTTTATTGTATTATATTACAGTATTATTATTATTATTATTATTATTATAATACTGCGTAATAATATTGATGTTAATATATTGATATTGATAGTGCATAATAGTGTTAATATTAATATATTAGTATTGATACTGCACATAATACTGTTAATATTGATATATTAATATTGATAGTGCATAATACTGTTAATATTAATATATTAATATTAGTACTGCACATAATACTGTCAATATTAATATAGTAATATTAGTACTGCATAATACTTTTAATATTGATATATTGATATTAATTATAATATACTTAATATATTAATATTATATAATACCATTATAATATATTATAATAATAATACTATTATATAATATTATTATGTCAATACTGCATAATGATATTATTATCATTATTATAAACTGTGTTTAAATATTTATGTGTTATTTTTATTAAATATTTATATGCATTTGAAACTGGAAGTTACAAAACCAAAAGTTATCAAAATCATATAAATTATATAAATTATCTAATAAATACTGCATCAAAAATCTTCAAATGTTCAACTCGTGTTTCGTATCACGAACCAATAGAGAGAATCTTCTCGTTCGACCAGCATTGCCACGATTATTCGCACCTTTCTCGTTATTTCCAAATGTATTCAAGGCGCTAATGAATGTCGCGAACAATCAAACCTCGTGGACAAAGGAGCGCGTAAGTAGCTTCGAACACCACCTGTTCCATCGGCGATTGAACACGGCTTCTCTCTCTCTCTCTCTCTCTCTCTCACTCTCTCTCTCTCTCTCTCTCTCTCTCTCTCTCTTTCTCTCGCTTGTGTTTCCTCCTTAAATACGCGTGCTCGAAAATCAATTTAGATATAACAGAAATACACAAATACGATAATTTGTTGCAAGTTATCATTCGGATAACGCTATAAAAATTGCATCGAGTCTACAGTTATGCACAGAATTGCGTTCCCAAAATAAAATTTGTGCAACTAAAAAAGCCGAAATGTTCAGGGTTACTAAAAACGCAACAGCATTGAACTAGTTTCGAAGAAAATAGTTTCGAAGAAAATAGTTTCCAACAAAAATCGAAATAAAGACAGGCAAACCAGTCCAACATTTCCCGACACTCGAGAACATTCGATCGTGTTTCCGATAACAATGAAATTTGTCCGAAATGTTCGCGCTGTATGTCCCATGAAAATAGCGCAAGCGCGAGAGTACATATGTACATACGTACCGTACTACTGTGCGCTCGGATTCTCGCTGAATTTTTCGTCGGAGCGTCGCGAACGAGCGAGTTCCAGATCCTCGTGAAATCACGTGCTTCCATGTACATTTCTTTCTTGCTTTGACAGGCAACGGTGCCGGGATCGCGCGGTGTCATCGGTCCGTGAAGGAATGCTGATAGAAGTGTTAAGAATTTTCCATGACGCGGCAACCCCTGGGACGATCCCATACTCGAAGGGATTCAGAGCTCTCTCTCTCTCTCTCTCTCTTTCTCCTTCTCTCTCTCTCTCACTCTCTTTTCGAGGCATTCCATAAACGGTTCAATCGACGCCGCGGCCGAACGACCGCCAAATGGCCAGCTTCGCGCGGTTCTTTCCGATTTGATGCTCCGCCACGGCTGTAAACCTGTAAATTGATTCCTCCAACGCGTCGGGGCGTCCTCCTAACGCCCCAGTTTCTCTTAACGCCTTCGATTTTCGCGGCATCCTCGCCGACATCCTCTCGGTGCATCTCCGCGGTGCATTTTCGCGGTGCATTTTCCCGAGCGCTTCGTTTCTCGGCGCGGCACCTTCTCGGAGAAATGGCTCAAGGATGGAAACAGTTCGGTCAATTCGGCGAAAGCGAAGAGGAATTCGGAACGGCGCCGATGAAGAATCGCGCGCAGAATCACGCTGCATTTTCGCGGTGCATTTTCCCTTCGTTTCTCAAACGACAACCGGCGTGGCACCCTCGCGGGCGAATGGCCCACGGATGGCCCATGGAAACAGTTCGGTCAACTCGGCGAAAGCGAAGAGGAATTCGGAACGGCGCCGATGAAGAATCGCGCGGAGAATCTCGCTGCATTTTCGCGGTGCATTTTTGCGGTGCATTTTCCCTAAGTTTCTCAAACGACAACCGGCGCGGCACCCTCGCGAATGAATGGCCCACGGATGGCCCATGGAAACAGTTCGACCAGCTCGGCGAAAACGAAGAGGAATTCGGAACGGCGCGGATGAAGAATCGCGCGGAGAATCTCGGTGCAACTTGTCCCGCGTGAGATTGCATTAATAAATTTAGATTTCTGCGACGCGCGCGCGCGCTCCGGCGAGCTTCCCATCTGCGCTCGCCATTCGTTCGCGCGGTTACGCCGCTGTCGAACGCGGATATCGCCGGTTTTACGACTCCGCTTCGCGATCCTCGGGATCAATTTTCAGGGTCTCGCCAATTCCCTGGAATGGATTAATATTTCCTAGCTTTCCCAGCTTTCGGGCGTTCCGCTCGTTCGGCTCGCTTAGGACGTTTTGCGTATACGTTGGGAAAAGACGTGTGCCCGGACGAGTGTTCGGGACCAATGAGGAAGTCGAAGGGATTTGGAGTTTCCCTTGTTTCCGATTTATCGATCGATAGATTGTGGATCTTTGCGCAAAGCGCGGATTTTGTTCGGCGGTTTTTATAAAGGAACGGTTGTGAATAATTGTTGGCTTTAGACGACTGGAAATAACGTAAGGATACTCGGAAATTCTTCTATTACGATATTCTGAGATTGTTCCGATAAGAAAGGATATTCTGTGATTCTTCCAATAAAGGAAGAATGTTCTGTGATTCTTCCAATAAAAAAGAATGTTCTGAAATTCTTCCAATAAAAATAGGATATTCTGAAATTCTTCCAGTGAAAATGATATTCTGTAATTCTTCCAATAAAAAAGGATATCCAGAAATTCTTCCAATAAAGAAAGAATATTCTGTAATTGTTCCAATATAAAAAAGAATGTTCTGAAATTCTTCCGGTAAAAATAAATGTTCTGAAATTCTTCCAATAAAAAAGAATAGTCCGAGATTCTTCCAATAAAAAAGTATGTTCTGAAATTGTTCTAATATACAAAAAAAGAATATTCTGAAATTGTTCCAATAAAAAAAAGAATATTCTGAAATTATTTATTACGGAGCAATGTCAATTAAATTAATGTTAATTAAATGACGCGTTTCTTGTACTCGATGCGGACAATTTTCCAGAAAAATCTGCGCTCTAATATCAAATATCCTGAAAAAAATGATGTCACAAGATTTCTGACGAATTTATGAGACAATAATTTATGCGATCATTATCAGAGAAAAATCGCAGACATTTCGTCCCGATGCACAAGAAAAAAAACCTGACATACAAATCAATTAAAGATCTCGTCTCCTCGATTAACATCTTCGAGAGCACAATAGCGTTGTATATATAACGCTATTAATATTATTATTATTATATTAATATTATATTATTATTAATATATATTAATATATATTATATATATTATTATATTAATATTATATTATTATTAATATATATTATATATATTATTATATTAATATTATATTATTATTAATATATATTAATATATATTATATATATTATATTATTAATATTATTTTATTATTAATATATATTATATATATTATTATATTAATATTATATTATTATTAATATATATTAATATATATTATATATATTATATATTATATTAATATATATTATTATTATTATTATTATTATTATTTATATATATTAATATTATATTAATAATGTTATTATTAATATATATTATTATTATATTAATATTATTATTATATAACTTTCAATTCGAGAGAATGGAACGAATCCGCATCTCCCGCACAAGGTTTAAGAACGAAGGTGTATACAACGATCAACGGACCGGAAATAGTCGCAGGTGTAGCCATCGCAGCTTTTGCCGAATAGAACCGGCGCACGCTGTTTGCGAGATTAGTTTTAAAATAGCCGAGAAACGAGTCCCGCCGGCGCAGCAACAAGTGACCGACATACATATACATGTACGCTTTTCTTATCAGAATCGTCGTAGCCGATCGGAACGACTCGGTTCTCCGGCGATAATTCGTTGCGAGCTACCGTTAACGCAATTATTCACGCGACGATCTTGACCATGGACGAACAAGTAAGTGTACAGTAAATGTCTCCCTTACTGACGCTCGGATCGTCCACTAAAATGGACAATTTGGGAAGAGGAGATACGAGCCTTGCGACTCGTTTTTATAATTGTGGACAGTTTATAACTATAAAAAGAAACCGCAAGGCTCGGATAATCGTGTCTCCTCCTCTTCCCAAATTGTCCATTTTTGTGCGCAATCTGAGCGTCAATTAGAGAGACTTTACTGTAAGTTCTGTTACGGAAACTCCTTGCGAATACGAAAAATGTGTACGATCTTGCTGCGTCACGAAGATGCTCGATTCATTTGTTAAGCAGAGCTTAATGGAGAGCCGGTTACTGTGGTGTGATTACCGATTGCTGTGTCTTTGGTTTATTTTTTGGCATAATTAACGTTATATTTATTCGATAAGACATGTGAAATTTTGTCATTCTTTTCTTTGATGAAATTTTTAATGTCTTATTCGATGAATGTAAAGATATCATTTTTTTGTATTCTTTTATTTTGGTCATTTTTTAATATTAAAGGGTTTAACACGACTCGTTCAATAAATATAGAGATAACATTTTTTTGATTCTTTTATTTCGTTTATTCTTTAATCAAAATATTTGTAACACGTCTTATTCGATAAATATAAAGATGCTATATTTTTATTCTCTTTTATTTCGTTTATTCTTTAGTAAAGAAAAATTCAATACATCTTATTCGATAATTAAATAGAACAATACGATTTTTTAATTTTTCCGTTTCGTTTATTTTTGAATAAAAAGAACGAATTGCTCGCGCCACAGTAACTGGCTCCGCTACTCTGTTCACAAGTACTTGCGTTGCTACTTTTTCTCGCCAGCTTCGCAGGAAAATATTATTCCCTAATTTAGCAGTCGACAAATTTGATCACAATTAATCTCGAAGCTGGCTTTGATCGGCTCGCAAAAAGTACGACGAACGCGAGATCAGAGATCGTACGACCGGACCACGTTAAATCGAAATTCGCGCGACCGATTAACGTGTTAAAAATTGTTCAAAGTCGCGCTTGAAATGTCCGTCAATTGTCGCGGCACGTGTGCGAGCCGTGTGAACCGACGTTTTAACGTGGTCGTTCGCGAAGCAGTTTCCAAGTTTGTCGCTGTGTCATCGTCAGTCGCGCTCGGCTATTTTCGGGGACCGAGACGAAGCAACGATTAAATTCCGAAAGCTTCTTGTACGAGTGCAAACAGCCACGGCGAAGGCAAGGACCTCCGCGGGGCTGGCAAGCGAACGTAATTTCTTTGTGTTTTTAAGGTAAGTTTCGCCGGTGATTACGGTAGAGTTCGCGGTTACACACGTTTGCGATGCGTGCACGTAGATAATGTAGATTTTACGCCGCGAACACGTGCCACCACCGCGTGTGCGGCGAACATGCTCGCGAAATGTCGAGGAAATGTTCAAGCGTGTGCGCGACGAGAACCAAGGAGAGTTCGCGATGCGTGTAATTTGCGGCGGAAGAACCCGACGCGGAACTCGCGTTTTCACTTTTCACGGTGAAATCTGTTTCTTTCTTTTCTTTTCGAAACTCGAATTCGAATTCGTTGAGATAGAATAAATGACGGAATATTTTTCGATACGATTTTCCATAGTCTATCGATTCGTTTCTTCAATGATTCGATTGAAGAATTTTTCGAATTATTCGAATTATTCGAATAAAGAATTTTTCGAATTATTCGAATTATTTGAATACGGAATTTTTCGAATTATTCGAATTTAAATTTCTCGAATTATTCGAATAAAGAATTCGTCGAATTATTCCAATAAAGAATTTGTCGAATTTTTCGAATAATTCGAATGAATAATTTGTCGAATAATTCGAATAATTCGAATGAAGAATTATTCGAATAATTCGATCAAAAATTCGTTCGACTAAAGAGTCATTCGATCAAAGAGTTATTCGAACAAACACATGGAACAATTTGTGGCGAATTCCGAATTATTCGAATAAAAAGAAGTATTCGTTCGGATGATTAATTTATCGGCGCATTGTTTCGGAAGTCGCCGCGTCGGAGCATCGTGTGAAAAAGTGTGAAGCCCATAATTGCCGAGCAATTACGAAAGGCGTTCGCGATCTGTGTCTGGACGGAACAACGTCCGATTACAACGACGAGCGACCATAATGAAACAATCGCTAAATAATTGCGTCGAATACAATCGTAGGTCAATTACGACATAATCAATACGCTGCACCGCCGAGTGGAGTATTAATCAATAATTAAAGTGGTGTCGCACTTGTGCCAGTACGCTCGTGCTGTTCGAACAAGCAGCTCGAGCCGGTCACGATTATCAAGTACAATAAATTCTGCGAAATTTTTCTTCGGCTTGTAAAAACAAAACTGTTTCATTTGGGAAGAGAAGATGCGATTATTCGAGCCTCGCGCCTCGTTTTTTATAATCGTTGACAATCGACTACTATTAAAAATGAGTCGGCTCGAATAATCGTAACTATTCTCTTTCCGAATTGAACAGTTTTGTTTAAAAGCCGACGGAAAATTAGGGAGAATTTACCGCAGCTATTTCCAGCAGAACCACGAAAAGCGTTCGATTTCTGGAAATATCCCTTAGCCGTACTTATTGCAACAACGCGATTCAATTTTCTGCTATATAGGCTCCTAGCGAACGGTGCAAGCGTGCGCGAGTGCACCTAGCAAATAGTCGAAAGCTCGGATCGAAAAATGTTGTGGAAACAGCGTGTTCCAAGAAGCTTTTCGATTATTCTTCGTGTTATTCTCGCGGGACCTCTTTCAATAGACCTTCTAAGATAGTTCTGCCCTGCAGCAAGGTGTTTTTTGTCATTTTCTCGTGTTCCTATCGCGATATAATTCTCGAGAAACAGTCCAAGATAGTTCTAGCTTGTTCCAAGAAGCTTATTCATTTAATTCGTCGCGTTTTTTACAGCTTGGTCCAAGAGTTCTTTCTATTATTTTTCGTGTTCCTCTTATTTCTTTCTCAATGGACGTTCTAAGATAACACTGCTTTGTTGCAAGAAGCTTATTCATTTTATTTGTTATGTTTTTCTCGTCAGAACGATCTCAATGAACATTCTAAGATTATAATAGCTTGGTCCAAGAATTTTTTTCCATTATTTTCCAGGTTCCTCTTATGAAGTCTTGCTCTATGAACGTTCTAAGATAACTCTGCTTTGTTCCAACAAGCTTATTCATTTTATTTGTTATGTTTTTCTCGTCAGAACGATCTCAATGAACATTAGAAGATTGCTATAAGATTGCTATAGCTTGATCCAAGAATTTTTTTCCATTATTATTCATGTTCCTCTTACGAGATCTTTCTCAATAGACGTTCCAAAATAACTCTGCTTTGTTCCAACAAGGTTTATTCATTTTATTTGTCGCCTTTTTCTCGTCGGTTCAATCTCAATGAACGTTCCAAGAACCTCATAGCTCGGTCCAACAATTTTTTCCATTATTCTTCCTCTCACGACAGGTCTCGATAGAGCTTCCAAGATAACTCTTTGCTTTGTTCCAACAAGAACAATCCTAGAAAAAAAGAACGCTCCTAAAATAAGCCTTCGAGCACCACGAAAGTCCATAAATCCACGTCGGCAAGATTCAATCGCCGGTTCCGCTGCGGAGGGGTCGGCGATACCGCGCGGAATCCGGCGATTTGATTTCGTCCGTCGATCGGCCGAAGCGTTTCACAAAGTGGCCCGTGTCGGGCACGTGATTAAGCGCGCATCGAAATTTCCCCGCAACAAATTACACGCTCGCGTTACCTGCTCGCGGCCGGCGAACCTTTGTCTGTCGGCAAACCCGAGACGAACCCTTCGTCTCGTTCGGTTCCTCGGCAGTCGGTCTTTCGGGCGTCGATTAGACTAGACGTACAGATCGCGGCCAATGCGCCGTTTCTCATTCCATACCTTCCTCTTCGAGGTTGGATACAGTCCCCGGCGATCGAGAGATCTTCGAACTCGTGAACTCGGGACGATAATGAAATAACATTAATCAGTTAGCTGTATTCGACGAGTATACTCGTCGTGAAGAAGAGGCGGAAGAAGTTGCAAGTTTTGCAAGAAGTTGCAAAATAAGCTTGACATAACCGTGACATAAACGTGACATTGCTATCCTAATCTAATCTTGATAAGGTTCCAAAAAAGGAACCTTAAATTAATAATGTCAATTATAACGTCAATATATATATATATATATATATATATATATATATATATATATATAATGTTAATTTAACCCTGACATAACCTTGATATTTCGGTACTATGAAAACTATTTCTGCAAAAAGTTACGATGACTTCGACGACGACATTGACGATGAGTCAATGACTCAAAATTCTGGAATATACTTTGGAGAACTGTATTTCAGTTGCATTGTATTTCAATTAAATTGTATTTTAATTGGATTGTACTTCAATTCAATTGTATTTCAATTCGATTGTATTTCAATTCAATTGTATTTCACTTCCTTTGTATTTCAATTCAATTGTACTTCAATTCAATTGTATTTCAATTCAATTGTATTTCAATTCCTTTGTATTTCAATTCAATTGGATTTCAGTTGCATTGTATTTCAATTGCATTGTATTTCAATTAAATTGTATTTCAATTCAATTGTACTTCAATTCAATTGTACTTCAATTCAATTGTACTTCAATTCAATTGTATTTCAATTCAATTGTATTTCAATTCAATTGTATTTCAGTTCCATTGTAATTCAATTGCATTGCACTTCAATTTAATTGTAGTTGCGGTCTTCAGAGTCAATGACGTTTTTACCCGATATCTTTCTATTTTCCGCGGCAAATTAAAGCGGCAATATCTCGAGTCGCGACGATTACAGTAATGTCTCTCTAATTGACGCAAATCTCCACTTCCCAAATTGTCCACTTTTGTGCACAATCTGAGCGTCAGTTAGGGAGACATTACTGTATCGTTATAAAATTCTTACGAATACAGTTATCGAATATCCTTATAAATGTTTACTTTCACAAGATAAAACCGTATGTTCGATCCAATATTTCCACAGCGTCGAAATGTCTGCGTTCGACGCGTATACTCGTCGTCGCTCGATTCTCGCGACGCGCTCTAAAAAGAAGGCGCCACAGCTAACTGATCGAATAAAGAGGAATTTGATTACTTTTCTACTCGTCTCGCTTCGGCGTAATAACCTCGGAATAACCAAATCGGTGCGTCTAAGCTGGTCGACGTCCCGTTCGCCTGAACGATGCTCGGCGCCCTGATAAAACCGGCTCCGGCGATTTCGTTGCAGGCATGCCGGGCAAGAAGAACACGATCATGTACCAGTGCTGTCCGGAGCCGTACGTCGACGTCACCTTCACCATCCAAATCCGAAGGAGGACGCTTTATTATTTTTTCAACCTGATCGTGCCGTGCGTCCTGATATCGAGCATGGCGCTCCTCGGCTTCACGCTGCCGCCGGACTCCGGGGAGAAGCTCACCCTAGGTAACGTAACTCGTAGCATGCCTTGCCTGCAATATTACACCAGCCAGACACGTCTATACTTTTTCGTTCGTATCTCTCTGTCCTTCAACTATCTCTTCTGTGTCTCACCACTGTCTTCGTTTCCGTTGATTCTTCCCGGCGACGGTGCTCGAACGACCGAGAAAAACGCCCGAACCCGTTCCGTATTTCGCGCACGCCCGGTATATCGTACGCGTCTTGCGCTCCGCGCGAAAATTATTAATCAGAATAACCGGACCTCGCGGAGCAAAATAAACGCGTGTGCGAAGTAAACCGAGTCATTCGAGTCGAACGCTCGAATCGGTTCGACTAGGCAGACGAATTAATTATTATTATTTATTTATTATTATTAATTATTATTAATTATTATTAATTATTTTATAGACAAGAAATTGTATTCCTTCGTTCGCGTTTACTTTTGCATACCGAATTCTCTGTTTCGTGGCAGATCACGCGTCGCGTATCTTGACTTTCCGAGATAATTGCTCCGCAATTATCTTCTCAGATTGTAAACAAAAATGGACAATCTCAGAAGAGGGGATACGATTATTCGAGCCCCGCGGCTCGTTTGTACAATTTTCGGCAATCGCGCGATTATAGGAACGAGGCGCGAGGCTCGCATAATCGTATCTTCTCTTCCGAAATTACGAGCCTTTGTTTACAAGCTGAAAGATAATTAGAGAAAATTTTCACGTTTCTAGATTTTTCATCAAATGTCTATTTTCTATCGATCGACAGCTCGCGGAATCTGCAAAGAATTAACTCGAGTTTCGCTGGTCGCGGAAAAATTGTTCGAAGTAATTGAATTTCTTTTTATTTGTGTTACTTGTTATTTACGTTTCCTGTTATCTATGCTCCGTGTGCTATTAAAAATGTCCTATTAAATTCTAGACGAAACTTTCGATGAAACGTACTGATCGAGAATCGCGAAAATTAATTGAAAAATTGAAAACTCGTACGGTCTTCCGAGCGTGAAATGCTGTTGAAATTAACTGATCGATGGGTATTCTGCATTAAAATCATCGGTGCAGCAGTTTTGATCGACGCTGTTCTGTTTTGATCGACGCGAGTCCAGTGAAATGAAGTTCGAACGACGGCCGCATTAATTGGCAACAATATCCATCGACACCGACGACTTCGAAATGCCGTGCACACTGGTTCAGATGCTGTTCATCCGCGTCGACAATGTGCACGTAACGTGCAACAATACGCGGCAATAAGGCGCGCATAAATACTTTGACGCTTTGTGAACGGATACGCGATCGTTGGTTAAATTGTCGTTGCGAATTAACGCTGTCGACGATCGATAATCTAAATGCAGCTCGGCCGATCTCTTTATCTAGCTCTCTGTCTTGTCGCGTGTCTCATTTTCCGCGCGAAAAGGCATCTCGAACGCAGTTGCATCAGAGTTGAAATTTTATTCGAATGACGGATAAGAGATGCATAGATAGTAACGAATCAAACTTCATTCGACAGAAATCGAATCGATGTTCAGCCGAATAATAGATTTTATTCCAATAAGAATTCGTTCGAATAAGAATTCATTTGAATATGAGTTCATTCGAATAAGAATTCATTCGAATATGGATTCATTCGAATAAGAATTAATTTGAATATGGATTCATTCGAATAAGAATTCATTTGAATATGGATTCATTCGAATAAGAATTCATTTGAATATGGATTCATTTGAATAAATCTTTATTCGAATAAGAATTCATTTGAATATGAATTCAGTCGAATAAGTCTGTATTCGAATAAGAATTAGTTCGAATGAGATTGTTTTCGAATAAGAATTCATTCGAATGAGATTGTATTCGAATAAGAATTCATTCGAATGAGATTTTATTCGAATAAGAATTCGTTCGAATAAAATGTTCATTCGAATAAGATTGTATTCGAATACGAATTCATTCGAACAAGATTATATTCGAATTACGAATTCTCTCGAACAAGATTATATTCGAATACGAATTCATTCGAATAAAATTCTATTCAAATACGAATTCATTCGAACAATAATCCATCGAAATACGAATTCCCGAAGAATGATTCTCACAAATTCACGCAGCAACCGTCCACGAAACACTGAATAACCATCATTCAAATAAAATACTCTTTCGCACAGCGAACCCAGACAAATATCAATTCGAACCGATTCGACCGACGCCGAGCTCCGATCTCGACCGTAAAACATTCCCGTAAATTCAAAATCGTCGCGTCCGGAAGAAACGCGTCCGCACATTACGAGGAAAACCTCGGCCGGGCAACGTCGAAACGCGCGCGTCCAACGTGTTATCGTCGTTCGTTCGAGCACGATCGTCACCTCCCTGTATGTATTCAGATCTGTCTATATCTCTCTATCTCTCTCCCCCTCTGTCTCTCTATTATATATCTGTTTCTATCTGTATATTGTATGTATGTACTCATACACTTGGAGTCTTGCGACTGTTTGACTTTGATCGGGTTGCATCCCTGATACTTCGATACCTATCGGCGACTAACCGCTGACTGTCCTGCGTTTCTTTTGTTTTGGACGATGAAAGGAACCTCTGAAACGAGATAGATCGAAACCCACCCCTCGATCACGGACGGCCGGACGACATTGCGAATGATACATAGCCATAGATTTGTACCCCGTAGGCGCCACGTCGGGCGACGTTCTCGCTGGATCATGCACGGTTTAAACGAATCGGGCCGGCCTTGAACGGCGCACCCTGGACGCGGGCACGAGTCCCGCGGATCCCGGGGTGCCGTGCAGCCCCGTGGACACTTTGCGAAGCGAGGATCGATCGATCCCGGAGCCGTTTCACCGGGGATCGGCTCCGGCGCGCCACGAGGAGCCTGAACGGAACTGGTTCCCTTCTTCGATCGGCGTTAATGAGAGTGGACTCTGACGTTGCAGTTTATTCCCGCAACATCTGATTGTTTCATCAATCTTCGTTCGTTCTCTTCGTTCGTTCTCTTCGCTCGTGGATGGCCGGCACGGTATCGGATTTCTTCGATCACCGAAACCCACGTTCGTTAGGCGTTCCTTGACCAGCGCGAGCTTTTTACCTCGCGACGCTGAATCCGAGACGAGCATTGTCGTCGCATCGGATTACGCGGCGCCCTAATAAGGAGCACGGTCTTTCTCGAGTTGCAAATGCCCCGGCAGGAAATAATTGTGCTGGAACGTGCCGGTTTTGCTCTTCCAGCGAGCGACGGTCATTTTATGGGAGCCTCGCGACACGCTTTTTTCTCCTCGCATTTGTCGCGCGAGTCTTTCGGCAGGAAGGACTCGGCTGTTAACCGACGATGATTCGATTGTTGTTGATTCGAATATTACGTCGAATACTATCATCGATCGATTGGGATTCTCATCGTTGTCAAACATTCGCAGAGGTATTCGCACTCCGATCGGGGTTATGTTTTATAGTGTTCTTCTAAGTGTACTGCATTTTTGATGCTAGGATTCTGCTTGAACGTGAGGAGCTCGTTATTTATAGTGGCGTTTATAGCCATCGATACGGTGAATTGATCGGGATCAGTTCGTTGATCGTAATCGTCGAAGAAGATACAGCGACCTCGTTGCGTGGTCCACGATAATATTGTTACGAATACGTGAACAATCGCCGAATTTACAGCGAAGTACATCGATATGCGAGATTTGTAATTAGTGGACTGCAAAGGCTGTATAAGATATTACAGAATCTTGGAAGAATCTGACTGTTTCGATGAACATTCGTCGATTATTTTGTGGGACCTCTTTACGGAATTTAATAGGTCGTGCGGTTTTTTTAATTGTAATTTTGTCGCGCAATGATTGGCTGACAGTCGGAGTTGCGCGGAATTACGATTTTACGAAGTGATTCGATTACGATATAATTCGATCGGATTGTAAACCGTAATTCAAATCTACGTTCAATTAAATTACAATGTAATTTATAATTCGATGGGAGTACGATTACAAATTACTAGGTAGTTCGGTTACGTTAATTACGAGAGTTACGATGTAATTGAGTTGAAGTCACGAATTATAGAATAATAATAGGTTTGTGAACTCCGTGTACAGTTACTCTAATAAATAACAAATCACAAATTATGTTAATATTTTAATTGCATGGAATAATTAAAATTTTATTTGATTAGAAGGTATAGAAATGTGTCTCAGTTCTTCGATGTTCAATTGTATTTCAATTTAATTGCATTTCAATTCAATTGTATTTCAGTTCAATTGTATTTCAATTTAATTGCATTTCAATTCAGTATTTTAATTCAATTGTACTTCAATTCGATTGTATTTCAATTCAATCGTACTTCAATTCCATTGTATTTCAACTCAATTGTATTTCAATTCAATTGTATTTCGATTCAATTGTATTTCAATTCAATTGTACTTAAATTCAATTGTATTTTAATTCGATTGTACTTCAATTCGATTGTATTTCAATTCAATCGTACTTCAATTCCATTGTATTTCAACTCAATTGTATTTCAATTCCATTGTACTTCAATCCAATTGTATTTCAATTCCACTCTCAATTAAAATAATTAGTTATTGAATTACGTAATTGAATTCCGATCCAGTGCAACTACAATGAAATTGAAATACAATACAATTAGATTGCTTAATTGAATCACAATCTAATCGAAATAAAACGCGATTCAAATACACAGTCGAATTGCAATGAAATCGAACGAACACAACTCCGTCTGTCAGACATTTATTTCGCGGGAAAGAAAAAAATTGAAATTGAAACCGCGCGTATCTGCGGATCGACCGAATATTTCTGAGAAATATCAGACTCGATTGTTGGCCACAACAAAGCGTGGAGGTTCGCGCAGATATTTGCAGTCTATTAATCACTGAAATTCACACCAGCAGTTTCGAACGGATCGGTCACCGTACAATGTCTCATCAACCCTCATCCACAGTGGTTTCGGGGAGTTTTATCACGAACTCTCTTTCTTTCTCTCTCTCTTTCTATCTCTCTATCTCT